GTTCCTCCCCAGGACCTGCAACCCCAGGCCCCTCGAGAGAAAACACCAGAGACATTCAAATTGGGGACATTTTGAAACCCCTGACAGATCCTTGTCAAAATTTCCAGGTCATCAAGAAAAAGGGCATGGCCAGGTCAGCCCTGTACCCCTGCCATCCAGCTGCTCGGGAGGCTGAGACAGGAGGACGGCAAGTCTGAGGCCAGCCTCAGCAACTTAGCCAGATCCTGGGGGGTGGCTCGGGGGTGGGTGCTTGCCCAGCATCTGCAAGGGGCAGGTTCCATCCCCAGTGGGGGAAGGGGCAGGGAGGAGGAAGGCGACACAGCACCCAGGAGCCAGCGGAGGGGGACGAGCAACAGTCCTGCAGGGCCCAGGAGGGGGCCAGGAGGAGAAGCCAAGGAGCCCGGACGGAGCCTGAGCCCTGGCTGGCACAGATGAGCGACTTGGGACGGTGCCACTCCTCTCTCTTCTGCTTTGTGACTGGGCCCCAACCCCGGGCCTCCGTGCGCTCCTGCTGGCCCGTGTGCGATGACCTCCCCTGCACAGGGCACAGGTGTGAGGTTCAGTCTTTCGCCCGGGTCTGCCCATTCCCCAGGTGAAGTGGGACCTTCTGGAATCTGTGAGCAAACCTTTCAGCTGGGGTAACTCCGGGTCTGCAGCAGAACGCGGAGACCTCAGGGTCCCAGATCCAGCTCCCTCCTGTCTGCGTCTCAGAACCAGACACGGCGCCACTGCGACCTCACATGGCCGTGTCCTCACCAGTGACCACCTGCAGGCCAGGCGCCCGACACGCCCCACGGTGACAACCTGAAGGCCTGGTGCCCAGGACGACCCCCAGAGCCAGCAGCCTCTTCACCACAAGGGGCTGGCCGGGGGATCGTGTGGCCCCGCTGGGGACAGGCCTGAGGACAGTGTCGACCCACCCTGGCTCAAGCCACAGAAATGCTGGGAAACACTTCCCAGGATCCCACAGGACACGGGGGACATGCCCGCCATGCTCCTCACACGATCCTCAGGGCCTCGACTGGGACTTGTGGGTGTCACGCCTGGGGAGCTCCTGGCATGGAGTGGGTGGGGCCGGGGCTGCTGCTCAGCACCTGCAGGCCCAGGACCCCACTCCAGAGAAGGCCCGGCCCCACGTCCACAGCCCCCAGGGACGGAGACCCTGGGTTAATGATTTAGGGGAAACAAATTTGTGTTGGAGCCTCAAACCTGACCTTGTTTTGGGAATGTCGTCACCGAGGTGGGCCTGAAGAGGGGACGTCAGACACAGGTGCACAGGGAGATGGCCAGGTGACAACAGAGGCAAGCAGGGGACTGGCCAGAAGCCAGAGGACACCAAGGGTGCCCGCCACCAACAGAAGCCAGAAGGGGAAGGAGCCTGCCCAGGAGCCTAGGGAGCATGGCCCTGCCACACCTGGACCTCACACTCCTGGCCTCCGGAACTGCTTCTTGGGGTCAGTTTGGTTTCTTTGTGGTGCTGGGGTGGACGCGGGGCCTGGGCATGCGAGGCACAGCTGCCCCGGGCCTCAGAACCATGAGAACAGACTGCTGTTGTTCTGAGGCCCAGCTGGAGGTCATCCGCCACGGCGACCCTAGAAGTGGACGCACCCTCCAAATGTCCATTCCCTGCCCCACACAGACCCTGCCAGGCAGGCCACACAGCCCCAAGGGCAGTTGGACGCCTATGTCCATCTGGAAGGTCCTGGGAACCCTCGGAGGCCCCCAGGGGCCGCGGTCCCTGCAGAGCAGGGTCAGGGCTTGAGTGGCTCCCCGAGGCCTCGGTGGGAGCAGGGTCCGCGTCTCACAGGCAGGGGGAGGACCACAGGGACAGGAGCCTGTGTGCCTCGGCCCCACGAGGCCTGGAGGGAAGCCACGTCTGTCACACACACAATCGGTGTCAGCACCGCAGAGGAAACGACTGCTTAATTAGACTCCGATGGCCGGCGGCTCCCGGGAGGAGCTGTCCCGAACAAGTCACAGCACCGGAGGTGTCACACGGATCTCAGCCAGGGGGCCACGCCTGGGGACATGTGTGGTGTCACTCTGGAGCTCCTGCCTCAAGTGGGTGACCAGGGTCGCTGCAGTGCCCGGGATGCCACCAGAGAGACATGGCCCCCAAGTGTTCAGCGTCACAGTCCAAAGAGCCCAGCTAGCCGCACACTGTCATCGTCCCACAGAGGTGTCCCCGTGTGTGTCCCTGGGGCTCACAGGATAAAGGTCTGGGCCACGTCTGGGTGACAGTGGAGAAGAAATAATGCAAATGCCAGCGTGGACTCAACTACCGCCAGGAATCCACTCCAGCCCCGCGGCGGCCGCACGCCAGGGCCCCCCTGCGCCAGGAAACCCCAGGAGCTCCAGAAGGTTCTGGAAGTCTCGCCACTCAGCTTCTGCTGGCTGTGCCTCTCGCACCCCAGGTCCTGCCCCTCAGAACAAGGACGGTCACCCCGCGTCGGCTCCCCGGTCTCTCAGGGCCAGTTCCCTCCACAGAACCCTAAGTGCCCCGGGGCCGCAGGACCGTGGCCAGTGATGCCACCCGCCCCGCTGCCCTCCACACAGAGGAACCCACCGCCTGGTGCAGACCCGGGGACATCGTAACAGGGCGCGGCAGTGTCCACCACTCGCCTGGGCGTGACCTACAGAGGACTCTGCCACGGGTCTCGCGCTCTGAAGAGTGACGGCAGCGTAACGTGAGATACACTGTCACCGTTTAAGGTGGGCCTCCTGCTGGCACCCGGCACTCACAGAGGTTGAAGCCTTCAGCTCCAATTCCAGAACATTCCACCACCCAGAAGGAAGCCCCACCCACGAGCAGCCCCCACAGATCCACCTCCCTCTCTGGACTCCCCTGTCCTGGGCCCTGCTGTCACTGGGTCACACGCTGTGGCCTGTGCGTCTGGCTCTCACTGAGCGCGAGGTCCCTCCATGCTGCGGCTGTCACCTTGCTCCTGCTTGTGGCCGAGGACACTCTGGTGTACGTGGCCAGGCTGTGTGTCCCTTCCCCTGTTGGTGGACCCGGCCGTCCCTCTTTGCCGGCTCTGTCTGCTGCTCCGCACGCCCCGGCACAGGCCTGAGGCCGTGTCCCCCTCCTAGCTGCACCCCAGGAGCGGCACTGCTGGACGCCAGGGCAGAGCCTGCGGCCCGTCTGCTGGGTGGCCACACTGCTGCAGGCTCCGGCCATCGCGCTGGTGAGGCTGCCCCTGCGAGTTTCGACAGACCCTCCTGGTGACGGGGACCTGCAGCGTGTCTTCACGGAGAGCAGCTGCCAGCAGGAGGAGGCCTCCCGTCTCCCACTCCATGGCCAGAGGCGGCCAGGTGCCATGGGCAGTCACCGGCTGGCCGGGGCTGCCCCTCCACGACGGGAAAGGGCTCTGCCAATCACGGCGAGAGCAGCCAGCGGCCAGCCCTGTCGCGTGGCCAGGGAGGACAGTCTCCCGGCCATGGGCCTCCCCATGAAGTGAGGCCTCCAGGACCAAGGCCAGTTCCCTCGCCCCAAAGGACCCTCGGGGCACCTTGGGGACGGGTGAGGGGAGACGGAGGGCACAGAGCGGCCCCCAGTCCAGGTGGGCGCTGCCTCAGGCTGAGGCCACGGGACCAGCTCACACCAGCTGCCGCCTGCTGGGAGACTGCACCCGGGTCAACGGTAACGTCCACCTCTAGACACAGCGTGGCCAGGTGAGGCCGGACGGGCCCAGGCCAGCACGCAGGGGCCCTGGCGCCACAAAGCAGCCAAGGAAACAGGGAGGAGGGGCAGACGTGCCCGGGTGGCCGCTGCATGAGGCGCTGGGCGCTGGCCTGGGTCCGCGGCGGGCGGGAGGGCACAGCCGACCTCGAGCTTCCCGCCCTCCACAGTGTCCTCCAAACCGGTGTCCTGCGCTGATGTGACACGGGGCCACAGACCCAGTGGCTTACGCACGCACGGTTTATCCTCTTAGTTTGCGTGGGGGACGTTCTCAACCCAGGTGTGGCCTCCTGAGGCCCAAGGACAGTCCCTGTCCCTGTCCCCCTCCTTCAGCTCCAGGGCCAGCAGCACAGCATCTTCCCGGCCCTCCCCCTGACCCTCCGTCCTTCTCTCAGGAGAACCCTGTGGTGACCCTGGGTGACCCTGCTCAGGGTCCCTTCTGCCCTGGGAGGTGCCACGTCCACAGGCTCCAGGGACGAGGACAGCATGTCCCCCAGACCAACCAGGTCTGCTGCAGATTCCTCTGCCCTGTCCTCCCTCCAGGCTCCCTCTGATGGGAAGCCCCCAGGACACAATGTCCACCCTGTGTGACCGTGGCCCCTGCCTGGAGGTAGGTGCCTCATTTATAGATGAAAGAAAGTGGGGGCTCAGGCCAAGAAGGTGGGTGACCCCACGCCCAGCCCAGGCGGGCAAGGAGGCAGGCGGGCAGTGGGCACGGGCCTGGGCCCCGCTGAGCCGAGGGAAGCAGCAGAGGGCCCGGGTGAGGGGAAGCTGCCCTGCGTCTGCCCAGCAGAGACCAGGAGGGCAGCTGCGCCAGGGGCCAGCAGTGACCAACAGAGTCAGCAGAGGAACTCGAACCTCCCAGGGCCACAGATGGACGAGGCTCTACCGCGCAGAGGCCAGGGCCAGCAGATGGGCTGAGCCATGGACGACGTCCCTACACAGGTCCACATAGGAGCCTGCAGTCACGTCCACAGGGCTACTCTCAACAGCCCACAGTGGAGTCCACCCCGTGTCCTGCGACAGACGGAAGGGCGCACACCCAGGTGGCCACTGCCCACGAAGCGGTGCTGTCAGGCCATGACAGGTCACGGCAGATGGACCTCGAGGGCCCTGCTCATCGGAGAGCAGATGTGGCCGTGTGGCCTGTGGCCCTGCTGAGGGGAGCTGCAGGGACGTTGGGCACCGTGCAGCGCTGGGCGGGACAGGGGCGGGAGAGCGGGGGCAGAGCTCAGGAGGACGCTGCCCAGCCCTGCTCGTGCTGCAGGCCCCGGGCTTCCCCCACGGAGACGGTGACAGGGCACGTGCCAGGGTGACTCACCACACGCCAGGCCAAGCTGCGGCACTGCAAGCAGGGGAGGTGGCAGGACGCACCCGGCTCACAGCAGCCTGCGTCACGTTGGTCCCTGGTGGCCTGCGAGACCCCCGTCCTGGGGTCGTCCACAGCCGCAGGGTGGCACCGTCTAGGGGCCTTGGCCACAAAGCCCATTCAGTGCCCGTTGCCCACCTCTCCCGAGGCCTGGGGTCCTGGCTGCTGTACCTGGAGGTCACCCCAAGTGCTGCCCTCGAAACACCCCACCTGGGCAGCAGATTGTCCCTGTGAGGTGACCAGGCGGCCGTGGCGGCTCTCTGCCTGGCTGGTTTGTGACTCGATTCCACCCAGAGACCAGAAGCCCCTGACAGAGCTGTGCGGACCCCTGAGGGCCTGGCGACGTGCCTCTCTGTGCCCAGCAGCAGGCTGGCCTCCCACGGCACACGCCCACCACCACGAGGGGCGCAGTGTCCCCCACCGCAAAGGGGCTGGTTTCCCCGACAGTGTCCTGGGGTAGGAGAGGCCTTCCTGGAACCTCGCCCTGGGTCACAAGGGCAGAGTCCAAGACACGGGGCCCTTCTCAGGAAGGGTGGGCCCAGCGCCAAGGGGCAGGGCCTGCAGTGGGCCTGTGACGCCTGGTCCCAGGCTGGCCACGGACGCAGGGACTCTTGGGAGTTGCAGGCCATGGGGCGGTGCCCTTAAAGGGGACGGTGGGACCCAGACTCTCTCTCTCTCTCTCTCTCCAGGTCAAGAAGTGACTGTCTATTCCATGACGTGCGGCCACCTTGAGCCTCATCAGAGGCCCAGCGGAGGGACACACATCCTCGGGGACCCCGACGGCCCTCGGACTGGGTCGGCCTGTGCTCTTCAGCCTCGCCGGGCACCTCACGCAGCAGGACCACGAGCACACGGGTCTGTGGGGGTCTGCCCAGGTGATGCTCTCCCCAGAAGACACTGGGCCGTTGGGGACAGGTGTGGTGCCACCTAGGGAGGCCTGGCCTGGAGCAGGTAGAGGCAGGGACACTGTTGGGCACCCCGAGTACCCAGGACGCCATTGGAGAACGACCCGGCCCAGTCACAGAGCTGAGCTCAGGAGGCCGCGACTCAAACCCTCTCGCCGTGGTAACAGCCGCCAGCATTCACAGCACTTGGAATTCACCGTGTCCTTCCTTCCTCGGGGGGCCTTCGCCAGGTCAGGGCGTCTGGGGCCTCCTGGGGGCCTCCTGGGGGCCCGTGAACTTGCACACCCCACGCCCCCTGCAGCCGCAGCCAGGAGCCGTCAGGCAGGGTCCCCGTCCTGGTGCGAGGGTGCCCATGTGATCTTCCTGTTGTGAAGGCAGGCGGGAGCCCCGTCCAGGGGCCAGACCTCCTCCCTACGCACAGGGGCCACTTTCCGGGAGCACCTGCTGCCACCACCCCATTTAGAAACCGGTCTCTGCAGGAGTGGCAGGACGGGGCAGCCCCAGTCCAGTGACAGGTGTCCTCCTAGGAAGGCACTGGCAGGAGGCAGCGTGATGGCGGAGGCTGGACGCCTGGAGCCCCGGACGGGGAGAGGCAGGAGGCCTCCCTGAGCCTCTGGAGGGCAGGGCCGCACACCTGGACCTCTGGCTTCGGGCCCCCAGGACCAGGGAGAATCCATCCCTGGGTAGGCAGCCCAGGACACCCTAGGTGAGACCAGGCGGGTGACAGTGGGCCTATCGTCACCACACACGACTAAACTGGTCAGGGTCACTCCAATTTGGGGACTAAATAAAGACCCAGACACAGACAGTACCTTTCCTCTGGGTTCAGTGACCGCCCCTCAGCGGCAGCTCCCACAAGGGGGGCAGGCGAGAGCGAGAGCCGCGCTGAAGCCTTTTACTGGGGAGAAGCCCCTCAGGTGAGCCAGGGGTCGGGCTGCAGGGGGCTGAGGTGGGGTCTTGCTGTCATCGGGCCCCCTGACCTCTGGGAAGGCCACGCCATCTCAGGGCTGTGTGGGGATCGCAGAGCGAGCGGGAAGGCGCATGGGTGGCCCGGCCACCGGGCAGCGTGGGTCCAGTCCCCCTGGCGCTCAGTGCCCACAGTCCCCCGGGCCCAGGGTGTCTCGCACCTCCCCACCCTCTCACGGGGGTTCGGGGCTAAGGGCACGCGGTTCCCCGTGGCAGCTCCCAGCCGTCTCCGTCCCTGCTCGAGCCCCAGCCCCCCTTGTCCCCGAGAGCTGCAGGGACGCAACATGCACATCCCTGGACACGGCTCAGGGTCCCTGGGCAGAGCCCCCAGAATCAGGGCCCCGGTTTGGGACAGCCTGGACACACGTGTCACCAGGCTTAAGAACGAACAGCTGTGTCCTCCCCTCCTTATTCTATCGATTGATTTTTGGTGGCACTGGGGGTTGAACCGGGGTGCTCTGCCACTGAGCTGACCCCCAGCCCTTTTTATTTTATTTGACACAGGGTCTTGCAGAGTTGCCCAGGCTGGCCTTGGACTTGCCGTCCTCCTGCCTCAGCCTCTGGGGCAGCTGGGATGACAGGCGCGGCCACCACGAAGCCTGCACGACCCATTCCCAAGGCACTGAGCAGCGGCTGCCTCTCCTCAGCCCTGGAGTCCCACCCTCACTTCTAACCTGTCACCCCGGCACCAGACACTTCACTCTGCGACCAACATCGGGCAACGTCTGTCACCTGGCGGCGTCTGCTCGGGGACCAGCATCTCTGAGCCCAGGGGAGGAATCCCCTCCGCCTCTCCTTGGTCGGGTATGACTGGGCCCACACTGTGTAGCCACGCGGGTGGAAGTGGCTGCTGGAGTGGCCGACCTGGGGGAGCGCTCCAGTGGCACACCCCAAGACTCCTCTTTGAAAAGAAAAATAAATAACTTTTAGTTTAAAATCATCTGTTCGATCACAGCCTGATCTGGTGCAGTGGTCTCAGCTGGGGACAATTATGGTGGGGACATTTGTCCCCCGACTGGGGCTGTGCTGGCCTGGAGTGGTGGAGGCCAGGGACACGCTCAGCACCCGTAGCCCAGGACGCCCCCAAAGGAAAGCCCCTCTCTGGGTGTCAGAGCCCCGTAGGACGAGAGAACCTGCAGGGTACCCTGGACGGCCAGCCTGCCCTGGGCACACGTGAAGACAGGAACTGTCCCCACGGGTCACTGTCCCCACGGGTCCCTGGCAGGCTGAGTTCTGTTCCAAGCTCCCTCCCGGCCTCCTCTCCAGACCTCCCTCAGCCTCTTCTCTGGACCGTCCTTGGCTGGTTCTTACCCCCACCCCTCCTCCCCGAGAGCCGTCCTGCATGTCGGCTGTCACCTCCTGTGACACGCAGGCCTGACACCCCGACCCGAGAGCCGCAGGCGGCCACACCCCGGCTCCATGTCCACACTCCCAGGCCCACTCACAGCGTCCATTCACGCAGCGCCAGGACCTGGAACAAGTTCTGAGGCTTAAAACAGGCACAGAGCCGCCTCTGTGGGTCGGAGGAAGGGAGGCAGGCCGCGGCCGACAAAGGACAGGCCGCCGGGCAGCCGGGCATGTGCTAGGCTGGGTGGCCAGGGGCTCCCAGCAGAGGCCCGGTGGGGCCGGCTCAGGCTGTGCCACGAAGGCCATGTGAGGCCTTGATGCTGGGCACAGGTGACAAGCTGGGGAGAGCAGCAGGACTCCCCGCTGCCAGAGGTGGAGAAGAAGGCCCTCAGGGGACAAAGGGGGGGACACAGCACGGCCACTCACACCTGGAACGCCCTCGGCCGGGGCAGGAGCAAGGTGACACGCTGTGGCGTGGACGGACCTGAGGACCTCATGCTCAGTGACAGCCAGACACATAGGCCACACAGGGGACGTCCAGGACAGAGAGTCCAGAGATGGACGGGGACCCACGGGAGCAGGGCGGAGGGACGGGGGCTGCTCGTGGGGACAGGGCTTCTAATTGGGGTGGTTTCCAGGAACAGCTGCCAACTCAGTCACCTGTGGCACCTGGGGACTCTGTGCTCACAACGGCTGGGTTTTAGGATACGGAAGTCGCACCTCCCTGGAGAGCACCAAAGCCAGGGCCACCCTCTGTGGCCTCTCAAGAAGATGAGCCACCGTCCAGCAGAGCTGTCCGCAGGGGCAGGACCAGAGCACGAGGCCTCACCCAGGAGCCCAGGGAGAATGTGGCTGGTCCCCCCCGCCAGGGCAGGGCCAGCAGCCAGCTCCCCCTCCAGCCACAGATGGTGACTCCTCTCCAGCCCTTGAGGGACAAGGCCAAGTCCCAGGGTGGCAGAGCAAGCAGCATTGTCATGAAACGCCCCCCAGAACGCGGACTGCAGAAGTGGCCGCTCGGGGACAGCAGCCCAGGAAAAGACTTCCCCAGAACAAGAGCCCAGCCTGGCACTGCCCCAGGCTGCTCCAGGGACCTCCCTGCCCCAGTCCCACACAGCTGCATGGTGGTCCTCCTAGGAGGTCCCAAAGTCACAGAGGCCAGGAACAACTGCCCTTCAGAAGTCAGCGACTCAGGCTGGGTGCAGCTCCGTGGGGGAGCTCAGTACGCACCAAGCCCCGGGGGGCAGCCCAGCACCCCCAAAAAAAGAAAGCCACAAAGGCCCTTCAAACCCACAAACACTACGCCTTTGTTTTGGGGAGCCGAGGTGGAACCCGGAGCCCTGCTCAAGCCGGGCAGGCGCTCCCCCGCAAGCCATGTCCCCTCCTAGTAAAAGCCGTGTACAGACGGCGGCGGCTGTCGCCACGTGCAAATGAGGAGATCTGTGAGGACACCTTGAAGTGCAGAGAGCTTTCCTGCTACTACACAGTGCACCAGAGGCTCCCCCATTCAGCAACCGCCAAGCGGGGCTGTCCCCGTGCGCGGCTGTCCCCGTGCGCGGCTGTCCCTCCTCTGTGACAACCCATCATCATGGGGGCTATTCGCGTTCAGCTGACTTTCCCTTTGGACGACCTGCTTGATCAAGCACGAAACAAGGACAGAAAATGATAGCATCACTCAACCGACAGGGTTCTAAATAAAGCCCCTCCACAGACCAAAACCACCTGGGGTATGGGGCCTCCTTAGAATGAGCCTCCAGCCAAGGGGAGGCCAGGGGGAGGCCAAGGGGAGGCCAAGGAGGGGCCAAGGGGAGGCCAAGGGGGGGTCAAGGGGGGGCCAAGGGGGGGCCAAGGGGGGCCAGGGGGAGGCCAGGGGGAGGCCAGGGGGAGGCCAAGGGGAGGCCAAGGGGGGGGTCAAAGGGGGGGCCAAGGGGGGGCCAAGCGGGGGACCAAGGGGAGGCCAAGGGGAGGTCAAGGGGAGGCCAAGGGGGGGCCAAGGGGGGGTCAAGGGGAGGTCAAGGGGAGGCCAAGGGGAGGCCAAGGGGAGGCCAAGGGGGGGCCAAGGGGGGGCCAAGGGGGGGCCAAGGAGAGACCAGGGGAGGCCAAGGGGAGGCCAAGGAGGGGCCAAGGGGGGGTCAAGGGGGGGCCAAGGGGGGCCAAGGGGAGGCCAAGGGGAGGCCAAGGGGGGGTCAAAGGGGGCCAAGGGGGGGTCAAAGGGGGGCCAAGGGGGGCCAAGGGGACCAGCTGTAAATGTGGACGTCTGTCTTTCAGTGCTTGCGGCTGGTCAGTT